ACCTCAGTGGGGTGAAGCAAGACGTCAAGAGGAAACTTAAAACTTCCAACAAAAGATCAGCCCTGTGCAGGAGAAGAGCACAGTGACACGGGTGAGGGGTGGCATAGGGTTAGTATGGGGAGTGAGAGGGGGCAGAGCCCTCCCTGTGTTGCCTGCCTGTGTGGGACACCAGCTGGTGAGGTGCCTCCAGAGACCACAGTGGCATTATTGCCACATGGCATCACCTTCAGCCTGAGTCCCTCGAGCCAGTTTTTCCACCTCCCTGCTCTGCTGCCATAGGCAACTGCTCAGGTTACCTGGCTGCTAAATGGCATTGTAAGAACAAACAAATGCATCCAAAGCAGCACTTGGCACCAACCACTGGGGCTGGAAGTGGCTGCTCCTGGCAGGGGGCTGGCAGGGAGGTGGCAGCTCCCAGCCCCAGGGGCACCTCCTGGGTTGGTGTCCCAACAACATCCACTGAGGATGAGACAGACAGCAGAGGAGGCAAACCTCCCAAGAACACCATCAACAGCCACACTGGGTGTGATCTCTCCTTCCCTGAAGACTTCAGATGCCACCTAAAACTGGGCTGGGCCCCTCAGGATCCCTAATGTTCCCCCTCCCCAGCAGCACCAGGGGATGAAACTGGGAGGGCACTGAGCTGGGGTGGCCCACGGCCACCCTGCTGACTCACACACAGACATGGGAGCACAGAGCTGGACGAGGGACAGACAGCTCCAACTGTGCTTAGGGAAGGCAAAAGTGGTGACAATCAGTGAACAATAGATGGCAAATAGTATTATTTATTATGTCCACATCTTCAGTAGCCACGGGGCACTTCTTGCACTGCGCACAGGGCTCTGATGGTTCAGCTGACATTTGCTGCTTCCTTGCCTTAACCACCCATTTTCTCCATTCTGCTGACTCTGCCAAAGGCCACAGAAAAGAAGAAATATGGCCAGGCTGCAAGAACCAAAGTACCTTGGTTCTTCTCTTGGTTTTAGTTGGTTTTGGGGGACATGCAACATGAAGCATTGCTGGAGCATGGCTCGGCATGGTCCTTGGTGTTTGGACATGGGGCAGAGGCATTGGAGCAGGAAAGATGACAGCATGTTCACTTCTCACCATCCTGGAAGGAGATGTTCAGGGACAAACTTAGAGTACTTTTGTGAAATAAACTGAGGCCACAGTCAAGAGGGCTTGTAGGACTGGAAGGAGAGAATGGGACATCACTCTTAAGACCATCATGCACAGGAGACAGAACAACTTCTTAATAATGCTAAAAGTGCTTTCACCAAATAAAAGCCTCATGGAAGAATGCTGGTCCTGCAAGATGCCACCACTGCTCCCAAGTGAGAACAGCCAGGTCTGGAAGCAGGCAAGGGTCAAACCCACAGTGCCCTGGCTGCAGCATAACCATCCCTGGGGAAAGCCTTTATCCCAGGAACAATGCCCTCTTCCAGCTCGCCCTCGATTCCCCGAAGCTCTGAGGGAAGAATAGGAGGAAAGCGCTTTTATTTCTATTTAACATCTCTGCTTTGTTATTCTTTTCCCAGGCTTTCCAGATCTGAGGGCTGCAAGAGTCCTCTCATTCTCATCTGCAAAGGGCTTTCCCTTCTTTTCCCAGTTGTCTCCAAGTCTGATCTTTGGGCCAACCTCGGGTATCCATTGCCCTTCTCCAAACTAAAATATGCACCGTCCCACTGCATGTATTTTAGTCCAAACCACCATCCAAATCCACTGTGCTCCATTAAACCATTTTAACAAGAGCTAGACTCACCTTTTACTTCCCTTGGCAAATCCTCTCTTTGCCTAAAATCCCAATGCTGACTTCACCAGAACTCGCTGTGAGGACACACTCTCAGCCTGCACAAACCTCACCCCAAACCCTTCAAAACAGTTATGGAAATTAAACTTTTTCATTTGGTAGGGATTCTGTTCCTGGGAGATGCCATCACAGTGTTGGATGTATTGGCAGTCCCTTCCTTCTGCCCCCATTTCAGGCTCAAGTGATGGAGGGGGATGTAGCAGAGCCCCCTAGGAGAGGAATTTGGCTGGACTGTGCTTGAGCCAAGGGGCACAGCTACTCCTTTGGTTCCCAAAAGGCTGCCTGGGTGAGGTGGCAGCTCTGCAGCTCTGACCCAGATTTCCTCTGCCATGGTAAAACACCCACTGCCTTGCCTGACACAGGGCCTGCCTGCTTCCCAGAGGACAGTGATGGGCCCTGGGTCAATCAGCCAGCAAACCCCAGCACTTATCACTCCAGCCTCACCTGAAATTAACTTGTCTTTTTTTTTTTTTTTTTTTCCTTTCCCAGCCCACAAAACCAACCCATCCACAGTGATCGATAAACAGCGCTGGCATTGTCACTCAGTCCCCCAGCCATGTCCCCAGCTCCTCCCCACCCAGCACTGATGCCCTCACCATGGCCACCCTCACCCCTCCCACCCAGCTAATGATGGTGTGAATAAGCTTTTATTTGGGGGGAAAGGAGCTGGAGAGAGGAAGCTTTGCAGGGGGAAGGGAAGAGACATTCCTGCCTCAGTCATCAGGCAATTTTCCCCTTCCTCTTGCTCACTGCCTCGCTGACCTTTGGCTGAGTCTGCCAGAGCTATAAAGGAAAAGGGAAAAAGGAGAAAAAAAAAAGAAGAAAGAGAAACTAAAAAGCAAGCGACCTGAAAGGACAGGCAGAGGGAGAGATGTTATCTTGCCTCTGCTAATGATTTATGGTCTAAGGATGGGTGGATGGAGGCAGAAGGGGCTGTGCAGGACTGTGGGCAGCACAGAGGGAGCTCGATGGAGAATAATCAATATGAAAGGAATAAGGGATGAGAGGCTGAGACTCTACTTGGGGATGTATGTTCTGATCAGCAGAAGGGGAAAAAATCCATGGTGAGTGCTACTACACCTTGTGAACCTGTCCTGAGGCATGTGGGAGTCCCAAACTTTAAAGGCCATGGTGACATCCCCTCCTCTGCTGGGACACCAGCCCGTGTGGTTCATGGGGAACGCCAAGGGATGAGCACTATGCACAGTTAGGGATTTTCCACACTCTTACGGAGCACCCAGCAGGGCCAGCCTGTGCAAATGTCCCTGTCCTCTCTGGGGTGTAGCTGGAAAAGCACACCTCCACCTCCTTGGCTGTGTCTGCAGCCCACCTTTGGCCCTGGCAACCATCTGCCAACCAGAGCCTGGCACTGCTGATAAATCGGTGACCCTTTCCCCCGGGCTGGCCCTGTGCAGCAGGATTAGCTGGCAGTGACAAAAAAAGGCAGCAGAATGAAAACCCATTCCAGAGCCATGGAAGAGGGGTGAGTCAAGGTCAAAGCACTGCAGAGGGAGCAGTCACAGAGCAAGCATTTTGGGGCAGGGGAGCCAGAGGAGTCAGGCTCACCCATGTCAGCTAAGCTAAGAGACCTCTTAGAAATCACAGAGTAGCTTGGGTTGGAAGGGACCTAAAGATCATCTCGCTATTAAAGATCATCTAGTAAAGTCATCTGTGACAAACAACACCACAGGGACAGACCTGTCCTGCTAAGGAACAGAGATGTATTTTTAAGAGCAAATTTACGCATGACATCTTGATATAATTAGTGAATCTTTTTATGGAGCTGCCCTGTAGCAAAAAATATCCTTGATATATGAAATTGATGTCCTTCCGCACACCTCTAGCTCACCACCACGTCCCCACAGAGCAGGAGGGTGACAGGAGGGACAGTGACAGCACGGCGAGGGCAGACAGGAGTGGGCAGGGAAGAGCTCTGGCAGAATCAGGGCTGTGCTGTGTCACGATTACGATGGGAAGCGGATGGGCACGGGGGCTCTGCTAGACGTCAGATCTTCCCCAGAAGGTGACACATACCACCGTGGGCAGAGATTTTGGGGAAGTTCGGCTATTCTTAGCGTCCCTCTCCCATCTCCTCCTCTGGATATGTCTGCCTTATCATGAGGCCCGCGCTCCTCACTGCTCCAGTCACCATCTGTGAGCTCTGCCCACAGTACTACCACCCAGACAAAATGTTTATGGCGCGTTTGCATTCAGAGGAAAACTTCCCATGCATGTAAAAAAAGTCATCACCAGCACTTTCTTTATCCTTCCCTTGCCTGAGGTCTAGCGGAGAACTTATTTTACCGTGAGTTATTTATGGCCTGACAGAAGCACCACTGACAATTTGAGATTCACAGCTCCAACCCTGGGCAACAACGCGGGTTTTTCTGAGAAAATCTTCTACAGGCAGCAGCAGGAGACAAAGCCATCTTTAAAATGGGATAGAGGGAAGCCCTCTCCTTCTCTATAGAACATTAACACTTGAGTTGTCTTTTCTGTACGTACTCACTGAGGTTTTTGGCACCACTGTGAGCCATGGGGAGCAGGACAATGAGCTCATCAGGAAATCAGATTCTGAAAAATCCCCCACCCTGGTGACAGGGTTTCTGCTGCACTGGGTTGGGTCTAAGGACATTAGGGACTTCCTTTCTCTCCCTCCTTCCTCCCCTTGGTCTGTCTCATCTATTCAGGTGGCTTCACCTGCTTTACGAAGCTGTTTAAGCTGCTTAGGTGGGGATTTTCACAACACTGGGATTTGCAGACTACAGTGCTTGGTTTACCATTCCAACTTTGGTCCTTTCTAGCCACTGGACAAAGGGAGTGTGTGCTTTAATCATTCTGCTTTAACGAGCAGAAAGACAATATGCAGGAAGAAACAAGCGTGCCTGCAGATGTGAGTACTTTTGAAGTGCGAAGTGTTGGCAGAGGAAACCTCTAGGAATTATAAAGCAAAGATGGAATCTCAGAATGGTTTGTGTTGGAAGGGCCTTAGAGAACCCCTGTCTAGTTATGAAACTCTGCCATGGGACACCTTCCACTATCCCAGGTTGGTCCAAACCCTGCCCAGCCCGGCCTTGGGCATTTCCAGGGATGGAGCAGCCACAGCCTTTCCACGGACCATGGGCATCTCTGCACAGCAGCCAACAGCTTGTCCCACTGGTGGGGAAGGACGAGGTGGGAAGGCATTTACCTCCCTGAGGCAGGTGTAGATGGGGCAGACGAGGACTCGGAAGGGCTCCCCGGTGCTGCTCCTCATGGTGCCGAAGACCTCGCAGAGGAAGGTGATGAACCCCAGCCAGCGCTCCACGTCCCGCTGCTGCAGCTCCTCCCGCATGGAGAAATCCTTCTGCAAGAGACACAGAGACAAGAGGCTGCATCAGCAACACCACGCCACCACGGCAGAGACAACGGCTGTCTAGAGAGGGAATTAGGAGGAAACTGAAACTCGGGGTGGGGGGAGGACAGACAGACAGACTGACTCTTTAGTAACAGTGGGGAGATTACTCAACGCGTGCCGAGCGGCTGCAATTTCAACAGAGCAAAGCCACCAGAAAGCAGGTACTGCAGAAATATCACCATTCCTGCAATAACTGCCACAGCTTGCACCAGAGATGGTGTCTGCCCTCTGAGCCCTACTGTCCCCCCAACAGACACAGGGTCACTTTTCCAGATGAACCATTGGCTTGATTTTTTGGTGAGGAGGGAAGAAGCCAGCACCACCAGGACTGAAAAAAAGCACCAACAGAGAGGTTAAACAAAATGCAGGGGAAATGATGGTGGCCATCCTGGGCTTGGTGGTCCAGGATAACCTGCCCAGCCCATTCATTCCAGTATCTTCAGCAGACCCAGTGTCTGGCCAGGAGCATCCTGATGGTCTGGCTGCTCTCTGGCGTCTCACAAAATAATGGCAGAGACTGGCTCCCTGCCTGACCAGAAGATCAGGGCAGCCTGGGCTTGGCATTAAAAGGTCACCCTGCGCCTGAGCTGATGGTTGCTATGACTAAGGATTATCCCAGTGACGTGATTTATGGGTCAGCATCAGGAGGAAGCACACAGGGAGATAGCTGCCTCCCCATCAGACCTCCAGGTGGGAGAAAGAAGGGGTTTGTCCAAGGGTTGGGTATGATAAGGGATATATGTGAGGGAAACAAGTGGCAAACAGCACAAGGCAACATAGAAAAGCAAATAAAAACCCTTCTAGAGGATGGCACAAGGGAGTGCATCATGCTCAGAATCAAGAAGGTTTCCCTGGGCTCTAAGAGATGCTGCAGAGGTTCTTGCATGACATCCCAGGCGACTTTTCTTGTCTGTCTCCATAGTGACCTTTCCTTGACACTAGAATTTAGTAGACACTAAGCAGGGGAATACTGAAGAAGAGGACAAGTTTGTTCTCCACTTTGTGTGTTTCCAGTGCAGGTTGCACAACCTTTGAAATCCAGCAACTAAATAAATCACCTTCTATCTTTCTCATCTCAGTTTATTCCTACTGCCTGAGACAAAGGGCTTTGCTGCTGCAAATACTCTGTCCTGCAGCTGCTCTCTGCAAAGCTGGGGAGATATAAAAGCCACCACACCAAAGTTTGCTCTCTTGCCCTGGACAACACACAGGAGATCTTCCTTTTAGAACAAAGCTAAGTGAAGCAGCTGCTAAAGAAAGCCAGGCAAGAGCACGACGATCATTTTCATGACACAACTGTATGCACAGAAGATCCAAGGCAGGAGCTATTTATATGTTTCATTACAAAACGAAAAATAAAATATGTATTTGCATATGCAGGAAAAAGACTTGTAAAATAGCTGAGGCACTTATTAACCAAGCAGCGATGACTAATTCCTCTCTACACCCATTTCCATAAGTCAGTTGCCCAACTGTGTCTGCGACTTCGGAGTCAACCTGCAGCCAAATCCTGTTGGGTCTCCCCAGACTCTCTGAGGGAGTTTGCAGAGTTCATCCTTTCATTAACCAGCCCGTCCCTGGGCAGTGACAGAGGAGTTATTTGCCAGCTCTGGTTATCACCCCAAGGTTACCCAATTACTTGTTCTGGACTTTTAAATTGAAATTTATGGCAAAAAGAAAAAAAAGTCAAAGAGACATGATATCCTGATTAATCATAAATTAAAAACCCAGGCAAGAGTATCCCATGCACCTCATCTGCCCCATCCACCCATACAGTGCACAGAAGGTTTCCTTTGAACCCTGGAGCTTCTCCTGGATTCCTCTCCCTCTCGTGGCACTGTCTCCAGCATCTCATGCAGCATCCCAGCCAGCTCCAGCCCCCAGCCCATCCACCCTCTCCCAGCCTGGATGCCCTACAGCACCTCCTGTGCTGCCTGGGCCTGGAAGCTCCACACTCATGTACCTGGGGAGCTGTGCTGTATTTTGGGATCCCTGGGGCATGCTGTGAAATTCCTAGCAGCTTGGGATAACTGCACGGGCTCTGCAGTCCCAGATTACTGGGAAAGAATAAAGAACACTGCAGGAAGCTCTGCTCCTTCCCTCTCCTGCTTCAAACATGCCCTGCTCTGTGCCCCTGCAGGAAGGAAAAATAACTCTTCAACAAGTCTTTAAAAAAAAGGTATTTTCTGTAAAAAAATCTAAACCATCAAATCCACCAATCACCTGGAAATTCTGTAAACCAACCAGCAAACCAAAACAAAACTCATCAGGTCTGGGATGGGAGCTGGGCAGGAAAGAATTCCACCACACATCACCCTCCTTTTTTCACCGTGTGGCACCCAGTGGGTGATGCAGAGACATCAGTGAACACTTCCTCACTTTTGTGCATGAACAGATCCTTGTAAAAGAAAGGAGTCTGTGGTCCCCCCATCTCCAGTCACAGAAAAGCTTGTGCAGAACTTTGAGGGACCCCTATGAAGGAAGGGAGAGGGGGATGGAATGTGGGATGGATGCAGAAGGCACTGCAGACATTTCCACACAGAATGTGATGCTGCAGTAGGAATAATTTTGCTCCATTTTTGGACTCAGGTTGGGCCAAACTTTGCAAAAGGAGGTGATTTGCACATGTTCTGCAAAAGGAAGGCAGTGACACTGATTCCTCTGACAAAGCAGGGAGAACACGTTGCCAGTGGGAGGAATTTTTCTGGACCACACTTGCCTGCAGGCCAGAGTAGGGCTTGGCAGGAGCCTCCACAGCAGCTGGACTTGCACTGCCAGGGGTGTCCTGAAGCATCCTGAGAAATCCACATGCCTCAGGGATGACACAGGATACTCCAGTGTCCTAGCATGCACCAGAAGGGTGGTCCAGGAAGCTCTGTCCTTAAATTTGGCATTCAGACTGCAGGTTTGACCTTTACCATGGTGTGCACTGAGTGCCACCCATGCAGAGGGGTCCCATCTGCCTTGGAGAGTTTGAGGAGACCACTGCTGCCACCAAGGCTCATCTGGGCTGTTCAATTAATGGAGTTACACGTGTGACTCACCAGCTGCGGGCCAGCCATGGCCACAGCAGGCCCAGTGACCCTCTGAGAACACTGAGAGCAGCTCCAAAGGCTGTGCAACCCAAGCGGATGAGCCAGAGCCAGCACGTGGGAGAGGTGAGGAACTGGCCGTCAGAAACAAACCCCACGTCCTGTGTGCCTGGGGCACATCCTATGGAGCTGTGCCCTGACCCACAGACCTCCACACGCTGATGATGAGCCTTGAGGGGGCTGAAAAGCTCTGGAACCAGACAGCCGGGTCACTGCCCTGCCCACTGAACTTTATTTGCTCTGGAAATGCCTCACGGAGTTATATAAAAATAACCTGTGGATTGGCTTGCCCCATGCTTAGGTGGTGATGTCAGGGCAGTAAGCAAATTATCTTTCATCAGTTTGGCTGTATTTTTAAACATGAATTGTATTACTAATTTGGGGGTGCTCTGGCCTGTAGATAATCTGGGTGTGTCTACTGGATGACCTTCCTTCAGTGCCTATAGTTTAAAATAAAATGTATTTATACCAGGTAGGGTTGGCCTTTCTTCTCTGCCTGGTTTGGGAGAAGAATTCATTGGGAAACCATGTGGAAAGTGGGGGGATGCCAAGGGGACCTCTAAAGAGCTCTCATACAGGACAAAGTTGGGGCATAAATCTGAAGGCTGAGCACGTTCATCATGCTGGGCCTCACCATGGGTAGGTCAGGGTGGCCTGTGTTCACACACATCACAGAGACGGCCTCAGCAAAACCTCTGACATCCCCTGCTGGATCCTCTGTAAGCCTGGCTGAGGCTCCTGCCAGCAGTGGAAACCCAAAATGCCTTTTTCCTGGGGGTGCTCACTCTTGCAGCCAAGTGAAAGCCCACTCCTCATTCCAGTGTAGATGCAGTTCAACACTGGGCTATGACAATGGACACGAGACCTTTCCAAAACTAGGACCAAGCCAGAGGAGCCAAGAGGAACGGCCACGCTGTAGGAGAGGAGGCAAACCCATCCTCTAACATTTTTGGTGGGCAGCAGAGTCAGGTGGGATGAGAAGCAGCATTTTGCCATCAGATCTAAGCCCTCACTCAGCTCAGACAGCTGCAGCTGAAAATTCTTCCCTTGGGAGTTCGCCACACTTTTTTTAAGACACGTTCCAAATAACTTTTCCCCAGGTCTGGGCCCATCAACCCATGGCTGATTCTGGTAGCAGCAAGTTTGAGGGCAAAAGTTTAGTGAGGGATAAAAATGAGGGTTAATTTAAGCATTGTCACCTTCTGATGGGCTAAAAAATAAAGGCACATTTGAGCTTGTTGCTCTGTAAACACAGGGCTCTTCCTCTGGCAGCTCTGCTGTTTACTCAGTCATTGTCAAGGAGGCAGGAAATACTGAGTCAGAAATACTGCACAAAAAGAAATATATGATGCTTAGATATCCATGCTAAGAGCTATATAAAAAGCTGAGATAGGCTGTGCTAAATAGTTGATCTTACTGGCAATGTTCTGTGAAGTGCTGGAGCCCTAAATGGCTCTTTGGAAAGGGCTAAGACAAATCCAATAATTTGGAGGAGGAAACTGGTGGATAGAGGTTGGACAGCCTCTGTCCCTTACTGCTGTCCTGGAGAAGCACAGCCTCTGCCTGCTCCTTTCCCAGACCTTCCTAGAAAGGTCCTTCCATAAATCACATTTTGCACAATTAACATCACCTGCATTATTCACTGCTTAGAATTTAAACACTAGGCGAATTTAGGTCCTGATTTGGAGGAGGTTCTGGTGTGCAGCTTTGCTTCCTCAGGAGTATAAACCAGTGAGATGAGTGGTTTGGAGCACAGGCATTTGGAAGGAGCTCAGGAGGTGCTGGAGAACCCTGTGACAGCACCAGGGAGTGATTAAACATCTCTGCCCATGGATTTGTGGGGTCTCACTTGAGCTC